TCAACTTCGTGCTGTGGATCGCCGGATCGGCTTTCACCGTGGCCGAAGCGGAGTCCAGCCCGGGGTCGTCACATGTGGGTGCCGCAAGCCCGCGGGCCGCTCCTCACTCTAGCCCACCACCCGCCACTCACAGTTCCAACTTTACAAGGACAGTCTGGCGCTTCTGACTCACAGCCTGTAAGTAAAGTTTTAATATTTAAAGAATTTGCCACTGATGATTCAAACGAGAGTTTTAAGCAGTGTAGAGTAGCACTTGTTGTTTGTCGTTTCTCTGATCACAAATGCAGACATGGTTTTATGTTTACACCGCACGATACGCAACGCAACACGTAAAAACACAGTATAAGTCATTATAATCAGTAATGATGTCCCCACTGGATGCAACAAATGCCTCATTTGTAATGGGTTTTATTGGTTTTGTCTCATCATGCCGGGAGATAGCATCACAATATGTTAAGGGGCATAACATTTTCGTCACACGCTTGAGGTATTCAGCCAATCACAACGCAATGGATAGCTGGCCAAGCAGCGTATAGCTCACTTTTCAGAACGATGAGTTTCGCAAAATTCGACGAGTTTCAGAAAGGCAGGGCATAGAGGAGCAACAATAATGTACATTATGTGAAAAATAATGTGTTTTTTAACCTTAAACCGCATGAACACATTGCATTACACCGAATACACAACATAATGTTCTTTTTAGCAACGTCATATGACCCGTTTAAAGTTACACCAACAAAACTACATTTAAGTGTAGATCAGTAGATGGCTCTTTAACGTAACAATTGCAGGTTACCACTTTTTACAATATGCGCTGACAGATGCTGACCAGCACCTCAGAGTGTTTCCCCTGTCAGCTGTTGGCATTGGTTGGTTGTTCAATTGCTGTTTTTCAGGTCATTTATATACTGTCATCTAGTGACCGGCGTCTGTCGCTGTAGTGTGAATCAGCCTCAAGTCGCTTTAGATAAAAGTGTTGCGATTGTGGGAGGTAAAGTCGCAACTGGGAGACATTAAGCCACATTGCATAATTTTTCCATAAATAAATAACTGATAAACAACGTGCAGACAGTTTTAAATTGGGTCATGGAGACACAGCATTTACAAACACCAGAGGGATGATATATATTCAAGAGTTTAGAGAGGACAAGAGCTCATCTCCACCATCCTAACTATGCATCATCTGCTCAGCATCCTAATGACTTTTGTTATATGGGCTGTGAATAGGTTTTATCAGCTGTCTGAGGAAGGGATTACACTTCACAAAATAGGGCCGTGGGTAATTTAAAAGTACATTTGGAATTGTATAAAGTAACAAATAAATCAGAATGAATCAAGCCGCCAGTCTGTGCATAAAGAATCACATTTATATGCATGTGTGTTTAAAGTGTATTAGAAAACTGGTGCAAAAATAGGTAGTCGCTATTCCTATAGCCGGGGGCGTCTGTTTAGCATATTTTTGTATTTGTCTAAGCACTCATTTCACTGTGCTTTGTTTTTTGCACTTAATAGTCATCATCATGCATATCAAGAAATATATGACCTACACCACAATCACACCAAATGGCTGGAGGGTGAATAGTCTACATATTAAAAACACTGGATCTCATTACCCAGAAACAAGGATGCAGTCAAAGTCATATTTTTTTCCATTCTTAGTGGTTTATAATTAGCTAGGTTCTGTTTTAAATGCGTAATATATAATAATATAATATAATATAATATCATATCATATACATGTGTCCACTTTTCAGGCCTACAATAGCATTAGATCTACCCACCTACTCAGATAACACTAATGAGCAGAATGGTCTCTAACGATTTCTTTCTTGGAGGTCTGTTGCTATGAGACAAACATTTAACCAGAAAATGTGGTCTAACCTTTATCGATGGCTTAAGGGATTTCCAGTTAAGATATTAATAATTGATGCACTGTGACCTGTTATTCTGAGGACAGTTGCTGTGGGCATCACGCGCCTCTGACTCTCAGCTCAGATGTTTCAGCTCAAGAATGTATTTCTCTGAAAAAATACGTCTACCTCTTATTTTCCGCAGTTGCACTTCAGGGCGCATTATGTAAGTTTTGCAAGCGGATCCATCATTGTCTTTTTTTTTCTAGCATGCTGTTCTGACAGAGTTTGTCTGGGAGTTCAACAACTGTCTGCTTTGATAATCTTTCTCCATCTCAGTGTGATTGTTTGTTTGTGTATATTGTACTGTAGTGCTAAACAAAAAATTAACATCCATCAATATTCATTATCATAATATAGAAAATTGCTTTGGCGTCTAATGGTGTTTTTGTATTAAATAAAGATGCATGGTGAAATTGATTTCTTAACATACTTTCACCTCAGCCATATTTCAGACATTTGAGTATAATTATCATTCTGATTTCAAATGTGGACCTATTACTGTAAGTTATATTATGCATTTAATGACAGGACACCCTTGTGAAACAAAGTAAACTTTAGCATACTTTTTTTTTAAAGTTTTTATTATGGAAATAATGTACTTTAAAGGGCACATATTATGCAAAATTCACTTTTAGATGTTGTTTGAACATAAATGTGTGTTGACAGTGTGTGTACATAACCACCACCTCATAATGATAAAAATCCACCCGCTCATTTTTTTAATCCCCATTAATCATAAGCAGTGTCTCAGAACAAGCCATTCACAGGCTCCGCCCACCACTGTTGATGGACACTGCTGCATTAGCAGAGACCTGAGTGAGCCTCACACAATCGGCCATGTTTATCTTCACGCTAGAGCATTTAAAAGCAGCATTCAAGTTAAAAATGTCTTCTTATTAAAGCTGTACAAGTTATTCAGTCCAGAGCAGTGAGTGATTGTCTGCTTTTATTGTTTGTTTGGGTCATAATTTTTAGCATAGACAACAGTATAGGTACTGCATGTTATGCTGCTGTCACTTAATACACAGATTTAACATAAACATGCAATTTATTTTCCAGCTGTTTACCTTCACAGACATAACCAACTGTGTTTTTGTAACTCATGTGTGTTTTTCACATAAACTTGTTTGTATTTGACAGTTTAGGTGCAATAAGACATGAAAGATAACTTAGTTTAGTACTCACATGCATGGTGATAGCAGCTTTCTGTGCGAGTGCTTCAAATGTGTGTACTCAGAAAACCTTATATCAGAAGTTTAAATTGATATGGATTGAAAACGCATGATTTTAGCGCGATAGACATGATAATCAAAACCTAACAGATGTTTTTTTTTTTTTTTTTGGCAGAGCTCTATTCTGGGCATAATTGCTGCCCTTTAAAATAATCTGTGTTGATAATGTTGGAAAACAAAGAGTTGATGGCATAGCCACTAACTTCCATAGTACAGAACAAAATACTGTTGAAGTCAATGGCTACCGACATTTTTTGTTGTTGTTGTTGTTACCAATATTCTTCAAAATACCTTCTTGTACAACAGAAGAAAGAGACTCATGCAGGTTTGGAAGTGGAGGCTGAGTAAACAATGGCAGAATTGACATTTTTCATAAGCGAGCACATCTAATGTGTGTTTGCTCATCACATGTCAATGCATTGTTAAAAGGTTATGCTAAATGCATCCTGAACTCTGTGGTCAATGTGCAAGGGTTCATCAAAAGTACAGCGATTCTGTCCTCTAAACCCCATTAACCTGCCAGGAGGGTGTCATTTTTGTGCTCACAGTCTAGAATGACGATTACCTCTCGCATTTGCAATTCAGATTATCCATGCACAAAAGAGAGAGTGTGGCAGTTCAATAATCTTCCATTAACAGATTGTGGATACGTGTGTCAAGTATCAACTCTGTTTCACCTCGACACAATCAGCTCCTCAAAAGTGTTTGTGACTAGAATCTTGAATCACAGAGAGCTGTTTATTTATGTGGCATTTCAACTTGATCTATAATAGGTTAGATTAAGATTATCGTTGAGAAAGCTTTTTTTTTTATTTTTATATAATCTTATCTTGAATCCATATTGCCTTGTTTACTATCAGTGATGGTCAAGAGAAGCAAAAACTGAGCATGGTGTGTGTGTGTGTGTGTGTGTGTGTTCCACAACTCCATGTTCTGAATCTGCAGTAGTTAGAAGATGCCAACATCAGTTTTTGTCATTAATAGCAACAGTTTATCTCCATAAATTATCATTAAAACAGTTAACTTGATTTTAATGCCAGCTTGTTTGAACCTTAAATCTAATGGAGGAGAAACTAGGCTTTTTTCCCAAGACAATTTCCTCAAACTTGATGCCAGATTAGTAGCTCATAACAGCAGCAATATCTCACCCCTTGCTTATTATTTGCAAACCTTTTGCAGGTTTTAACACATTGTATTTTATTGCAGCCTATAACATAATGGATCTGGATACATTAAATATTTGTCACATTCTAACTCTCTTATAAATTATAAAAGGTTTACTGCATTTGACTTCATATTATTCAAGTCTTGTTGTTCCTGAGCACTCGATCATGGACAGCAAAGCCTTATACCTTTATACAAGTATGGCTTTCTTTATCTCAAATTATGATCATATTAATATGTTAACTGTTTTGTTTACCTACTTAATGTTTTATTAGATATTGTTTTGTTTTGGTATGCTAAAAAAACAACGTCTACATTTATTTAGCAAATCCATAAGTAAAATTATCATGAACGTTTTTTGGTTTGCTACAATTTATGGCTGAGGAAATAAACATATTTTTGGTGTCGATAAATAGGACAACACTGGCTTTGAAAGAGCAATTCTTAGCAAATATTTCGAGCTCATGTGGTGCATCTACAAAAGCTTTGACTAAAAATCTTTCCGAGACGTTCTTTAGGTCAGCGTCACAAAAACAACTGAATATGAATAAAACAAGCACACTCTCTCACTCTCTCTCTCTCTCTCTCTCTCTCTCTCTCTCTCTCTCTCGCTCTCTTTCTCTCTTCTGGTCTGTCTCATCCTCGTCTCGCTGTTGATCCGTCTCTAAAATCATCGCAGATGCACATCAGATGTTGAGGATTCATGTACCTGGAGGCTGGAGCTGAACTCGACGATGTCATTTGGATGTAAATAGGTTACCCTGCTGGACAGAGACGACACAGAAAGCTAGCTTAACTTACCTTCCTGAAGCTGTAGTTATATTTTAGTTCTGATAAGCAAATCATCATGGATCTGTCATTTATGGCTGCGCAGGTAAGGCATTTAATGCTTTTGTCTCGACTCTCGAGCTATATACTGTGCATAAATGTATACATAAAGTCATAAAGTCAGCTTGAACTTCACATGGAACTCAGCTTGTTGACGTCAGGATGTACACACTTCAGCTTAATCATATCAGCAAAACTATTTTAGATAGGCTAGTCTACTACACTGTTGGTTCAAAAAGTCTAAATTCAAAACTCTGCAGATGGCATTTAAAATACTGGAATTAATTGTATATAGGCAACATAAAAATAAACAAAGTTTTAGGACATTGGAATTTTAAAACCACATTATTTATGTTTCTGCACATATTAGGTTACTAAACAAATACATTATTTGTGCAGGATGTGTATGATGAACTGCTTTGTACAAACGGTTGTGTGGTCTTTATTCCATTGAAGCATGAAAGACATTTTCAAATCATGCTGGGGAACATGGATCACCATGGATTTTTTATTTATTTATTTATTTTTTATTCACAAACTTGTGGATTCCATGAAACGGCAAATGAGACATTCTTCTTATAGTCACCCTGTAACAGCTATTGATTGATTCAACAATATTGTACTTCGAAATATTGTTCTTAGTCAGAGTTACTGAGGTAATCAGCAAGCAACTATCAGCTTTCTGGATGCAAATTGTGATAACCAGTAGCAATTAAATCAGTCCTAATCATATGTCTATGCAATTTTAATAGTCTTAAATATAATCAAGAATTATTTGCATTTATAAGACCTTGAGAATGTGTGTGCAGACTGCATGATTCAGAGAGTAATACAATTAAGAAATGATAGGAACAACTGCAGTCTTTGTAATGAGCTGTAGAGCAATTATTGGTGGAAGGCTAATGGGAGAGAACAGCAGTGCTCAAGCTTTATAGTTATGTTCATTTCCTCGTGTTTCATTAACTTGGCAGAAAAACAAAATCAAAAGTATAATGTGTTTCAACACTGCAGCAGAAGAAACCTACTGAAAAGGGGGGGGGGGGGAATCATAATTTCTGCCTATGGCAACCACTTTGCTGGAGTTTGATAAAAAATTGCTCTTTTATAAGCCAAAACTCGTGCTTGTTTTGGATGGGGATTTTCTTGTAGGCAGATGAGCAAGACTAATTCTGTTTGGAGTGACATCAGAAAATTGCACTGACAGAGTCATTTAAAAGGATGTAGCTAAGTGAAGTGAACAACGTCATTGCAACATCAGCCAGGGGTGCAACTAAACAGCCTTTCCCTCTTACTGGATGAGCTATAGAAATAACTTTAGGTGTGTGTCACAGACTTTGCAGTGTATGGATTTGATCCAAGGCCAGACAGGGATAGGTTACAGGGCATCGAAGAGTGATCTCCATTAGTGTTGTGTCTTCTCTCAGTGTCATTTCTCTTGACAGCCAGGAGGCAGAAGCTTAAATATGAATGGTTGAGACTAACTTAGAGCCAAGTCAGGGTTCAAACTAGCCTGTCAGAACAGTGCTGTTCCCAAAGAATAGACATTAGCCTCATAAAGTCAAGTCTGATAGGTAAGTTTTGGTTTGACTGATTTCTGCTGCCAAGTCTGATCTATTTCAGAATGGGCGAACTGGACTGAGGTCTTAGTTTCTATATGCTTGTGATTCTCGGTGGAGAGTTTTAGAGTCAAGCCAGATCATAATAAGTGGTAGTTCAAGCCTAAATTATTATTATATATATTTTTTCAGTTCAGTTTCATCCCGCATTTGTGCCCTTGATGCAAATGAATCTTTGGCTTTATGTGTTTTGACAGGTGCTAAAAGATGGCCACGGTTTCTCACAATGGCCCTGATTGCTGGCAAGATTTCTGTTAATTCTCCAACTTCCCTCATTAATCTCATATAGTGTTGGCTCTCTGGATTTAATTGAATTGCTTCATTTTGTTCAAATGGTACGGAACAGTAAGCTTTTTTTTATTTTATTTTTTTATTAATTGTTTTAACGAGGTAAATCATATCAGTGATGTTACAAAAAAGTTAGACAACTTTTTATAATACAATAGTGCAGAGAGAAAAAAAATTCAGATTTCCTTCCTATTAGGGTTAGTTCACCTAAAAATGAAAATTAGCGCACGTTTTACTTACCCTCAAAGCATCCTAGTTGTATGACTTTCTTCTTTCAGACGAATCCAATCAGAGTTATATTAACATTTTTCTTTGCTCTTCCAAGCGTTTGAATGGGAGTAAGCAGGTGTTTTTTTTTTCAACAGTCCAAAACTCATCAAATAAAGCGCATATGTCCATAATAAAACGTGCCTCACATGGCTTCGGGGGGTGAATAAAGGTCTCCTGTAGCAAATTGATGTGTTTCTGTGAGAAAAATGTCCATATATAAAATGTTATAAATACTTTTTTCTCACTTCTGCTGACTGTCATACGTGCAAGCCATTCCCGCAGATGACGTAGGACGTATGCGCAGCGCACGCCTCTGAGATATGTTAGTCTCGCGAGTTTGTTTACAGGAGCAAAGGAAGCAAAGTTTCCTTACTTTAGCAAAGGAAAACCAGTCTCCCCTTGGCTTATATCGAAATCCTCCTACATTTTTCTTTACAAATCCTCGTTTTGTGCTTCTAATTCGTGACCAGCATTTTGTTTTGCTGTCTCTCCTCTGCACTTCCGTGTTCGCCACGAATCACCGGCGCATGCACGATGCATACGTCCTACGTCTTCCACGGGAACGGCTTGCACGTATGACAGTCAACAGAAGTGAGAAAAAAGTATTTATAACGTTTTAAATATGGATATTTTTCTTAAAAAACGCATCGATTTGCTACAGGAGACCTTTATTCACCCCCCAAAGCCGTGTGAGGCACCTTTTATTATGGATGCGCGTGCTTTATTTGATTACTTTTGGACTATTGAAAAAAAAAAAAAACACCCGCTTACTCCCATTCAAGTGCTTGGAAGAGCAGGGAATTTTTTTTAATATAACTCCGATTGAATTCATCTGAAAGAAGAAAGTCATTTACACCTAAGATGATTTGAGGGTAAAACTTACTAATTTATATTTTTGGGTGAACTAACCCATTAACTGTTCAAAAGAGGCTTTCACAAATGGTTTACATGCATCCTTCCGCCTAAAACATAGAACATACTTGCACCTAGTGAGCTGCCTAAAGAAGTTGCATTTTAAGGTATTATACACTGAAAAAAAAAGTTGTAGGGTTTGCTTTGAAACATTTTTTTTACTTGTACTAATGTAAATTTCACAAATAACTACAAATAAACTACAAGTAACACATTTAATTAAAAGTGACATTTCTCCCACATGCTCAATGATTTATTTGCACTAATCAGTTTGTTCACAAGGTGGCAACACTGGCCCAATGTTTCACAGTTAAAAAAGAAAAGGAGGAGACGGAACAACATTTTTTTTTTTTAATCAGTCATAAGTTCGAACGAGTAAATCAACTTTTTATTAATCGGTCATGACTTCTGGAGAGAAATAGAGCAGACATCAGTCAACTTTCTGGTGCGCATTAATTATCCCCGTGTATTTGCTCATGCTGTCAGTTGGAATGTACTTTAAAGGGGTCATTGGATGCCCAATTTCCACAAGTTGATATGATTCTTTAGGGTTTTAATGAAAAGTCTATAACATGTTTTGGTAAAAAAAATCTCAATGGTAGTGTAAAAAACACCCTTTTTTTTTTTTTGCATGTTTCTTTAAATTCTAATGAGCTCTGCTCACCCCGCCCCTCTTTTCTGTGGGGTGACGAGCCCGTTCTCATGAGACTGTTTACTTTAGCCTCAAAACTGGCTAACTAGCACATTATTAGGAAAGGCGATTTGTAAAGATTCATAAAAAAACCCCTTATAATCGCTTCTTCTGTAGGTGAAGCTAGATCACGAATGATTTGCGTGAACATAGATGGATTTAGGCAGATCAGGGGCGCATTCCCTTCACAAACAAATGTTATCCACTGCGTCTTCAGCGGCTCAGATGCCGCGAGTAAATGACGACTGCTATATTCATTACTACATCCAACAAAAAGCAGCTCAATCTCTTAGGAGACATTCTTGTCTACATCTGCTCCGGTGTTGAAACAATGGCGGTCGGACTGTAACAGCTCACTCAGGGTGGGTCTAAGGTAAGACGGCCGTGTCAATCAACTATCGTGGGAGCGGCCTGGGTCTGTGTGATGTCACACAGACAAGAAGTTGAGAATTGCCTGATTTGAAAAAAAGGGATATTATTTTTAGGGATGAAATAAAAACCACTGGGTGGATTTTTATCATTATAGGGTGTATGTGTACACACACTGCCAACACACATTTATGTTCAAACAACATGTAAAAGTAAATTTTGCATCCGATGACCCCTTTAAAAAAGACTGTAAAAAAAGACTACACTGCAAGTTGCTGACTATGTACAGCGTTCTAAATCAGTCACTTATGAGGGAACAGTTAGGATTTTATCAAATCATTGTTGACTTCCTCAGTAAATAACTAGAAAACCTTTCAGCATCTGGCTTCCTTTGTGTTCTTCAGCACTTCTTTCACCTTCTCTTCATGTGCAAGCCCAGATATAGTAGAGAAAGTGGCTATTTTTTTATCTGTGTTGTACTCTGTGTCTGGTAATGTTTGTTTATGGTTCAGTGAGGCTTTGCAAGCCCTTTATATGGGTAATTAATCCTGGTATCACTAACATAAAGAGCTGTTTTATCGTGTGATGGGCCCTCATTATCTCTTCTCTCATGTTAGTGTGTTGTTTGGTCCACACAATTTCTTTGTAGTACCATTGAAGATGTCATGACCAGAATTCTTAGTCTTCATTTTTGGTCTTTCATAAAAACAGTAAAGTTTGGCTGGTTATCACGGTCCAGTTAACCCTGCTGGAAATACCATGGATACACCATCTGCCTGCAAAAAAAAGCATTGTGGGTCTCAACACTCAAAATCCCTTTAATGTGCAACATCCAGATGTTGTTTTTTACAGACTGTCACAAAATGTACACTTTTTACAGTCATTATTATCTACACTCAG